GGATTTTCTAATAATAAAAATCATCTCCCTCAAAGATAGGAGAAGGTCCATCCCCATGGGACATCTTTCTCTAGGCGGTTAAGCCTAAATACGTGAGTACGAGGCTCTGATACCAATTGAAAGGATCAAGATGCCCAAGAGAGGGGGTGAATTGGGCTAATTCTAAAATTTTTTGCAATAATTAAACCCTACGCTTAGCCCACTTCACCCCTTGTGCCTAGAATATGATGCTATTGATCTACCGCACAAAAGTTTGGCACTCTAAGTTCCAATTCTACTCTAGTATGGCAATTCTAAGAATGTAAAGACAAGAATTGAATTGCTCAAATGTAAATGCTTAAAGTAAAGAGAGGAGAATGAATGTGGCGATGTTTTGCCGAGGTATCAGAGAGTCGTCACTCCCACTAGTCCTCGTTGGAGCACCTCCGCAAGGGTGTAGCTCCTCCTTGATCTACGTAAGGATCAAGTGCTCTCTATGGGTTGATTCTTCAACACTCCATCACTGTGAATCACCCACAACCGCTCACAACTTGAGTTGGGTCATCCACAAGCTTTGTCGGATGATCACCAAACTCCCGATCACCACCAAGCTGTCTAGGTGATGGCGATCACCAAGAGTAACAAGCACAAACTCTCACTTGAACACAACAAGCATAATGAGATAGGTGGATGCACACTTGCTACTCTCCTTGCACTAATGAGGCATTAATCTTAGATTCTCAAATCTCAATCACCTCACTAGGCTCTTACTCTCCTAAGCACTCTTAAGGGTGTTTCTCAGCTGTTGAAATGAGCAAGAGACCTCCCTTGGATGAAGAGAGAAAGTATTTATACCCCCTCATTCAAAACGAACCGTTAGAAGGTGGAAACACCACTCTGCGGGGTGACCGGACGCTCCGGTCAGTTCTCCCTGCCACTGAGCCGTTAAGTTGTGACCGGACTCTGACCTGCGTCCGCACTGACCGGACGCGTCCGGTCACAAAAACTGCTCTCTGGAACCTTATTGATGTTGACCGGACGCTGGAACCCAGAGTCCGGTCACTTCGCTGCTCAGCGTCCGGTCAGTAGCCGGAACCTGACCAACGTCCGGTCAGCACTGACCGGACGCGTCTGATCAGGATTCTCCCTCTCTAGAACCTTACTGGAGTTGACCGGACTCTGGCACCCAGCGTCTGGTCACATTTCACTCAGCATTCGATCGCAACCAGATGACTTCTGCTTGATCAAATGAACTGACCACACTCTACTGCCAGCGTCCAGTCACACCGGGACCAGCGTCCGGTCAACATTTGACCCTCCATTCACTTCCAACTCGAAATCATATGTGAATGAAGTTTTCTCCAATTGATCTTAGGGCTACTTAGGAGCTATCTAGTGCTAGATTTGACAAGTGTATACCACACCTAACACACTAGACTCACATAGGTCAAGTTACTAGTCCATACCCCCTTTATAGTACAGCCAAGGGAAAAACAAAGTCCTAAACTACTATAAGTGTCTCTTCAACACCAAATGACACTTAGAACTAGTCCATCCTTAACCTTGTCGTCCATCCTTTGAAAACTGAAATGATTTCCATCGTAGGGGCATGACATCCATGATTGCCCAATCAATTGTCATTACCATGACCTAACTTAATTGCCTCTACAAAACACACATTAGTCATAGTAATCACGTATTGTCATTAATCACCGAAACCCAACTAGGGGCCTAAATGCTTTCAATTAGAATGGTCTAAACAAATCTCAAATCATCACAAGATACAATGGGGAGAATCTTTCTCTATATAAAGAAGTGGTCATTAGTATCTGCTTATAGAAAGGCACTCCAAGTAAAGCTCAAGAAGACTTATAGAACGGTTCTCTAATGCATCTGAACTGTTTAGGATAGATATCTGCATGGGTAATTGAACAAATTCCATATATCAATGTGAAAGCATGGAGGTCCTGATGCCAAGTACTTCTTTCTGAATATCACAGAAAATTAGAATGGAAAGAAGGTGCCATGTTCTTCTGACCTCTGTTGCACTAGAAATGTAAATTCCTTGGGTTTTACTTTCCTTGATCTATAGGTTATCTTTGGATAAGTCAAGAAGGTCCCTGAGATATGAACAGATAAAAATTGATCCTCTCCATAGTAGCACTTTAAAAAACATTTCTAAAGAGGAAGTATGAGAAATTCTCTACCAAATACTCACCTCACTTTTTCCAAATATATCTCCACCTGAGACATGGTAAATAACTTATTTTACTATTCAGCTTCAGTAAACCTAACAACTAAGGGGGGGAAACTAGCAATGTGGATGCTAAATCAGCATGAGGCTGGTATGTTACCATTGACAACTTCACAGTCCATGTGCTTGCTGATGATCCTAAACAAACAAAAAGCTCATCCACAATTCGCTGTACTAGTCCAGTTTTCTGTTCACTGCAATGCAAGATGCTTGGCCCCTATGTTACATTCAAAATTACATAAATGTGTAAGGTCAAGATAGAAGAGACATGATCAGTAATTATCCCATAAACTAAAGCTCAAGGACATTTAATTTACCTCCATGCTCTATGTCTTTCCCACCCCAGTCTAGACACAAGCAAATTTGAAAAATGTCATTATGGTTAAAAGTTGATCACTAAGACATTGATCATATAGGTGAACCACAAATTATGACTGTATACAGTAAATTGGAAAGTTGCAATAGGGCGAGCATTGTTTTGAGGAAAAAAGTGGATACACATATACATCCTGTGCAGTAAAACAAGTGTACTACTGTCAAATGGTTAGTCAGGGTACAGAGTGTATGTGTATGGAGCAATAGATACCTGACCATAAGTAATTATAGTCCCACTTATTCCATTGATGGCATCTGTTTCCAGAATATAGAAAATGGCTATTAGATAATCTAGTTATGATAAGAGTGTAGTGATCAAAAACAGCTTTAACTATCTTGAAGAACAAATCTAGAATGGAACAAAAAAAACAAAACCTGACACAATGGGCACAGCAAGGAATTTCTAGACATCAGACTGTTGCGCGTCTTCATAGAACACCTTGTCAAAACTGAATATGACATCTTCTTCCCTCTCATCCTTATTCAAGAGTTTGCCAACACATTAGAAGCAGAAGCATTGAAATGTCACACCACACCAACAAGATCACAGGGAAAATGATGATAAACGTTTACAAAGATTTTTAATCTTAGTCTCCTACCAGGAAATAAGTTTATTGGCCTACTGTTAGTTTGTTGCACACAATTTTTTTTACTCTACTGATGGCTTCGCCTTATTATTTCTACTCAGCTATCTATTCGGTGGCTGCAGTGTGAAGGTAGAGTGCAACATATATTAGGAAATGCAGCAGTAGCGTCCAAAATCAAATTGGATAGCACCCCTAGAATGCCAACAGAGAGAGGAGTGTGAGAGGCAGGCAATGACTAGGTGTTGGAGAAAAAGACAGGCCATGACATAATGAGGTGAGTGACAGGTAATGGGTGAATGAAGCATTGAAGCTTATTCGGGTAACTGAATGAAGCGAAGCTCCCATGTCCTCCAACAAATCCATGGACGGACAGAATGTAGATCCCTCCCATGTCCTCCTACCTTCAGAAAATACTTTCCTGCACCACACACTAACACAAACAACGCCACACTTGAGTCTTGCTTTAGAGGACTCCTTGCTTTAACCTTGCCGCTAAGACCTCCTAGTTTGCCCAATCCATGCTCGCTCCCTCCGATGCACTCTTGTTCCATTTGCTCAAATCAATGTGTGCACTGCCACAACCTAGGCTCCAGATCGGCTCAACCCGAAATTGAATCGGAAATTAATTCTGCAGCAGAGGGCGAACCCCTCTCCTTGCTCATAGATCTCATCCCAACGGCACAACAGAACAAGCTCCTCACACCAGAGGAAGAATCAAGCACCATATCAGGAAGGGGGATCCAGCAAATCCACACCACATCAGGAAAGGGGATCAGATAAACCATGCAACCGATGAGGAACATAGATACAAAGAGGAAGAACAAGGACGAATCATGCACCAGAGGTCCCAGCCGTGTTGTCCTGCATGGCGCGGAGGAGCGTCTGGATGAGCTCGTTGGTGGTGTGGACGCGGGCGTGGAGGTCCACGAGGTTGACGCGTCCAGCTACGAGCGTGACCTGCGTGGCCTTGAGGTCCGCATGGAGCGCCGCGGAGCCGTCCCATAGGCGGACGATGGTGGCGGCATGCTTGCCGTACTTGCCGAATCGGTGAGGGGGAGGGGATGCACCGAGAAGGGGCGGGCCGGAGCGCCGAGGCCACTGAGAAATCGCTGGGTCACTGGGAGAGTGGGAGGGAGAGCCAGAGGAGCGGGTGGTCGAGCACTCCAGTAGGGCAGCGGCCAGGCTGGAGTTTAGCGGGTGCGGCCTCCGGTGTTCGGACCCAAATAACAACCAAACCAGCGCACGGACTCTGAAGCCAATGGAACGGACAGAAGCGTCGCCTGAGAGAAACAAAAATTCATGTGCCAACAAACCAAGAAACACACATGTATCCTATAGCATTCCTGTTTTAGAACGTGTTCTGTTTTCCTGAGATGAAAAATGGCGAAAATAACTGATGTCTGACAAGGAAATGATATGTACTCCAGTGTATAATGCCTAATTTTTCAGAAGAGCTGCACTCGAGCGTAATCAGAGCCCCTGTAATGTAAAAGTAAATCCAGAGACGGTTACAAAATCTTCAGCCTGGTGACAGCACTGCGTGTGTGTTTTTGCTCCTATATACATTTCACAATATTTTACCATGTTCAAAAAGTGAAAGCAGAGTTTAGCTGGTTAGCATTGCCTGTCTACCACCCTTTTTTCGGATTTCATTCAGATATAAAACATATCCAGATATCTTGAGAACCATCCATCCAGAAAAAAGTGGTACAGAAACGCAGTCGGTTGCGCTGTCAGCCTGTCACGGCCTCAAACTCAAAGCCTCCGTGTTTCTGTTCACAATGGCCATCGCCCATCCGGGCCTCTCAGCAGGACACGAGCAACGAGACGGCCGCAGCGGCCGCCAGGGCCGCGGCCGGCGCGGCGACGGCGGCCGCGCCGGAGGCCTTCTGCCCGGGCTCGATCTGCGGGGTGTCCTCGGGGCAGGCGAGGCCCTTGTCGCCCTCGTGGCAGGTGTTGGCGAACAGGCCCGGCGGGTACTTGCCGTAGAGGTTGATGTAGCTGAACATGGTGGCGGCGCAGTTGGTGCTGACGTCGTTGATGTAGGTGGAGTAGGGGCACGCGAAGTCCTTGAGCGCGCCGCAGCACAGCGTCGGCTGGTACAGCGGGCCCTTGCACCGGCTCGTGATCACCGTGTAGTTGGCGTCCTGGAAGCTCACTGGGCAATCTGTCCCAGACGCAAACCAGATCAGACGGCCGGAGGCGGCGGCAGAGATCAAGAACAGAACAGAGCCCCAAGAAAAGAGGTGAAAATGCAGGCACCTTTCTTCTGCTGCAGCAGGCTCCGGCCGGTGGTGTCGCGCCCGCGCTCCAGCAGCGCGTCATCTGCATCCACGGCGGAACGGCGGGGGCGTTAGAAGGCGAACCAGGAAGGAACCCGAGACCAGATCCACGGCGTATGCGTATCAGAAGGTAACCGACTCGAGATGAACCCGGCGGCGGCGAAGCCGAGGACGGCGGCGAGCGCGACCGCGCGGAGCGCAATGCCTCCGTGGGGACCCATCTCTGGCCACGCCTCCTCCCCGATCGGATCAACCCTTCTCCTCCGGTGTCCGTGGAAGAGAAAGGGAGGGAGGGGAGAGGAGAGATCGAGGACGGCGTGGCAATGCGTGTGCGAGGACGCGAGGAGGGGGTTAACCGGCGAGCAGAAACGTGCGGGAGGCAGCGTGACGAAGCAAGGGTCACGCGGAGGTGGAGGGAGGGGGGGCGTGGGCAGAGGTTGGCGCCGGCGCGCGCGGGGCGAGTCAAAAACTCCAAATGGGAGGGGAGCGTTCAAAAATAGCCAGTGCTATGGACGGCTCAAAATGCCAAGGGCACATGACACGGTTCAACGACACGTATTTTCGTGAAGATCTTGCCGTTCACAGTGGAAGAAGGTAGGCAGCACAGCACAACAAAGGGCGTGTTAGATTCCCTGGCTATCTCCTAGCCAGGTTTACTGGAGCTTGAGTCTGTTTGGTCGGCTCAACAAGCCTCCTAGCCAGGCCCGAGCCAGCCCTGCACAAGTTCACCTCACCGCCCGTTTGTGATGGCGCCTCGCGTGCTCCTCCCCACGAGTTCGGCCACCACGCCTCCTCCCCGCCGGTGCTCCTCCCAAGCGCTTCCCCGGAGCCCTTGTCGGGGGTACTTTCGTCGTCGTCATGCGCCCTGTTCGTTTGGACTGGTTTGGTTTGTAAGACATGGCTGAAAGTACTACTGGCTGGTTTGACGTGAAAGAAAAATACTGTTCGTTGGCTGATAAGCCATGGCTTATAAGCCAAATACGACCAAACGAACAGGCTGACGGTGGACAGCGAGATGGCGGTCATCGCAGGGAAATGGTGGAGGAGGCCTATAGGAAGACCAAGGCGCGCTGCCCTCCTGGCTCGGGCCCCGTCCTTGTCTAGCGCCCTCCCTGGCCTGGGCCCTGTGCATCTCGTCTCGCGCGCCCAGGGCTAGGGGCGGGAGCGGCAGAGGGGCAGAGCCGAGGTCGGCATGGCTCTAGGGGAGAGGGGACTAGATCGAGAGCAGCAGCAATGGCGAGAAGCAAAGGAAGAGGGGGCAGCCGAGCAGGCTGGCCAAGGCGAGTTCCTCCTCGTCGTCGGCGTCGTCCTCCTCCGCGTCATGGGCACCAGCACGGGCAGGAGCGGTGGCGGCTGGAAAAGCCTGGTGGTGAAGCTCACATGTTCGACGAATTGTCTCAAAGGTGGTGAAGTTATCAATTGGTGACTCTATCCAAGCCAAACCAACTAGCCAAAGACACTAGTTGCTAACCTGGTTTATTTCCAGGCCAGGCTAGAAGCCATGAAACCAAACCCACCCAGAAGCTTTGGCATTCAACCCATTTTTGCAAGGCTCTGGAGATCGGTCACAGTCTCACAGAAGCCAAAGTGTAACAAGCAGGAGGACACTGGTGCTAGTAGCTACAAAAACTGATCGATTTACATGAGCGCACACAGGGCGGCGCCATGTTTCAAAAGTCGAGTAAAAAGAAAATGGGGCCAGCAGCGTCAGCTAACCCAGACATGTTGGGCACAACGACGATCTTACTCCTATGAACAGCAAAAACTCCGCTGCACAAGTAATCAGAAATTCAGAATGGTATATTCAGTTTCGCCAAATATAACATCAGGTAAGTTTGCATCAACAAGCCTACAAAGGAATTCTCATGAGTGGCTTACCCTAACCCTAGACGGTCGGTGCTGCAGAGCTTCCACCGTCTCCACCAATTCCATCTGCTTTTCCACGGCAGCCTGCAACGCCTGGTGAGATACAAAGCACGGGTCAAAGCTATTAACTGCAAGCATCCATGTCCATTGAAAGAAACTTCAGCAATGATATGAGTTCAACAAAAGGCGATGCAACACAAGGACAATTGATGGCATCAGGGGAGCAAACTAAAAAGGTGATGCCAATACAGGGCAGTAAGAACATAGCAGGTTTCTTAATCCATAGACTGGCAAAAAGCAAAAACCATATGTTACTCTGAAGCGCATAGATCATACTAGATCTTAAAACATGTTGCAAGACGAATCAATCATAAACCAGTAGTAACAATAAGTCACTCTGATAATGAGGATGATCGCAACAAAAAAAAAATACAAATGTAACAACACAAGAGAATTGGGAATCATCGTGACAGGGCAGATTTTGTTTAGAAATGACCTTCTACGACATTCATATCCTATGAATCTACAGAGTAATTAGTAGGAAAAAATAACTTACTTTTTTCGTCATGTCCAGTTCAGCCTCAAGGGATTTAATCCGATCAAAGGACTGCAACAATACAAGTTCTTTCTCTTTCTGCATATCTGGAGGTTTGCTCTTGAGGTGATCGCACAGTGACTCGAGCTTCTTGAGACGCTGTAAGCAAGCACTCATGTCCTCTTCTCTTACAACTTGAGGTTTTGGTTGCTCTGCTGCAGCATAAGGATGGACATTTTCTAGAAATCTTTCTTGTCTATAGACGAAAAGGTGGAAGAAAGATGATATTCTGATCAAGACTGCGATCAGTCCAGTAACAACGTTTTCCAAAGTCCTTCCAGCAGATGTACCATGCAAACTAATATAAGTATTCCCTGAAATTACACAGGAAGAACAGTAATTTGCAAAGAAAGTTAAAAGATTGTTCGATTAGTAACTAAATTTATGGTAAAGACATTATGTAGACGGAAATGGCAAATCCAGATTAGAATTATTTACATAGGAATATTTTATTCAAAACAATGAACAGTTTTAAATGCTCTAAAGTTGAAGCAATAGCCATTCACTTTTCTTTTTTAATGATGGAAAGCTTATATCGGATGGTTCAATTATTATTATTAACTAGTAATGTTTTGGTAAAGACATCATGGAGACGGAAATGACATTCAGATTAGATTTGTTTACCGAGGAATATTTTGTTCAACACAATGAACAGTTTTCAATGCAATAAACATTCACTTATTTTTTTTAATGGAGGAAAGCTTATATCAGATGGTTGAATTAATAACTAGTAATTTTTTTACAAAGACATCAAGCAGATGGAAATGATAAATTCATATTATAATTGTTTACTGAGGAACCTTTTGTTCAACAAAATGAACAGTTTTCAATGTTTTAAAGTTGAAGCAATAGACATTCACTTACTTTTTAATAGAGGAAAGCTTATATCACAAGTAAAAGAGTGTTCAAGGAAAAAATTAAGAGGAAAAGATATACCTAAATTGTTTAGCCACCCAAAGGTAGGAAAATATTTCTGGCAGGTCAACTGAATGGGCACCTCCATTGGAGGGGAGCCCTGAGGAGTCATATCTTGGAGATGCTTACTGCCAGAACTACAGAATATCAAAGAATCTGACCCCTTAACCTAAGAAAACCATTAGATACAAAATCAGCTCACAGAAGGTACCATTGATACAAGATATTACAGAAACTGGACACAGAACAAAGCTTATCCTAGTTAAGGTAAATAATGATTGAATTCGATAAATTAACACGACACATACTTCTTCATGAACTGGGGTAAGTAAACTGTGGTCTGTACTCTTTTGGACAGCTGTTAAACCAACATCATCAACATCCGACTCAGATTCAGCGTTTGATATGTCACTGAACATACCCTGCTTCCAAGAGAAATAATAATATCAATGTCCTGGGAAACTAAAGCTGTAGCCAGGTCTTTAAATGTTGCAATGGTTTAGGAAAATGGAATTTCAGAACCTTGCCTTCAGGTTATCTGCCCTTAGGGAAGAGCCACTTCTTTCGTCCCCGTCAGAAACTTGCTTTATTTCTCTAGTACTACCACCTTCCATACTGTGTATTAGCTACAATTAAAATTTCATAGTCGTTAGTCTATAGATGGACTCTCATTCTCTTTTATGCCTGAAGAAGAATTGAAAGCAAATATTTCTCCTGTCACAGGAAAATGTTCTCCACATGAAGTTCACAAGTTCTGCTGGATTAATGTATTGCAAAAGCATGAACCTATATAAGACATGGTTACAGAATTACATAATTTATTAGGATACCTTCATAATGACAGGGTCATTCCATGGACCCCTATTAGACCCGAGGCAACCACCCTTGCCACTGCATTGGCATGATCCGCCAAGAAATTTTGGCAATTCACTGCAAACACAAACACAAAAACGTACTTTTGTAAGTGGTAAGTTGAATATACAGTTAAAGAATTCTGACACAATAAAATGGCAACAACCTTGAGTCAATAACTTCGATAAGTCTGCTCTGGTAGTTCGAACCAAGAACCTATGAAGAAGAATATATAAGTTCTTATTCCACAGCATTAATGTATATATATGGAACATGAGCCATGTTAGAAGATTACTCATCAAGCTTACATGGATCTTGGAAGAAGTTTTTGGGTCAAGGAATCCCTTAACACTGTTCCAGATCAGCTTAAACCCACTGCCTGCATTCACAACATACATCTGATGTAGCGTCTGCAAATTCATCTTCAGTTAGAAATGTTGCTCAACCGAAACAAGCTGGCACAGCACATTCATTCAAATGCACAGGTACCTCAGGATAGTAGTCACTGTCTACTCTCTGCATACGTTGGACAAGCTCCCTTGCAGTCTTTGAGAAATTCTTGAACCCCTGAAACAACAGTAAGAAACTGAGTCGACGACAATCTGACAGTAATGGCAACATAGACATGAAAACTGAATGCTTCAGCGCAGTCACTGGGCCATCAGCATACCACACCATGGACGTCCAGTATAGTGGTAGTGGAGTCAATGTGCCTCTTGGCTGACAGTGTGCAGGCAGGGAACCTCTCCCTGGAGGCCCTCTCGAACTCCTGCACATGGTACTTGATGTAGCGATCCACCGTGGTGATCTGCATGAGCTTGTTCGGATCAACTTTGCCCAGCCTCTCAATGTACACCGGCCGGCCTTCACGGTCGACGCCATGGTAGCCCTGAGGATAGTACTGGAGTACATCGTCGAGCTCGTCGAACTCGAAGTCCTGACAAAATGAATCCAGATTGTCCATCAATGAAAGAAACCAAAAATCAAACAGGT